TTCATTCATCACCTGGAGGAAGTTGTCCTTGAAGGCTGAGTCCAAGTCTACGATGAGGTGTTTTGGAGCCCCTGCCCAACTCATCCACCCTTCCACCATCGCCCTGCCCACTTCTTCAGAGGTGGTGTTGCTGAGAGGCAGTACGACTTGATAGGTGGATGCCACATCTACAATGTTCAAAGCAGGGTGCCTGGTGGCGTCCACTGTGTCCAGCCAAATGATGTCAGCGGCCACGACCTCATTGAAATCCAGCACCACGGCAGGACTTGCAGGTCTCGAAGATTTGGCCTTGGTGCTCTTGCTGCACGTGCGGCATACCATCTGCTCGGCTGCTCTGATGACACTCTCCGATGCACCTCCCAATTTCAAGCCGGATCAACTCCCGAGTTGGTGGATGTTTCCCAAGTTTTGGTGTATCCTCTTCAGCGTCGAAGCGACCATCGGCTTGACCTTGCCCTTGAAGTAGATTGCTTCAGCGCCTCGGGGAGGCTCCACCTCTTCCGGCCCAGGCCCAGGCTCAGTACTGTACTTGTTGGGAAATGAGTCGACGTCTGGGCTTCATTTCTACGCGCACCGTCGAGTGCTTTCACCACTGCCTTGGCGAAGTCCAGCGGGTAGGTGGCTGATGCAGCCGTGTCTCTTCCTTGTATAGGTCGGTGTTCATGTTGTCCTGGGCATCGCACCGCGAGCTCTTGAGCAAACACCTGGTTGTTGGTCAAGATGGACACTCCCTTCTTCAATGGTTTGCCATCAGCCACGCTCACCAACCCATACTGACAGAGGTCCAGGTCAGCGAAGCAGACGTTCTCCTCCTTCATGATGCTATCGAATTGAGGCTGTCGCCAAATGTCACTAGTACGCAGATTTTCAATAGCCACGACGCCTCCCAGCATCTGTTGGAGTTCGAACACACGTTGAACAAAGGTGAGCAGGCCCTTTTCTTTGCGTCTGATCCTCCGTAGTTCTTGAGGCGGGTAGTTCAACCGGGAGAACTGACACCACACCGTGCACGGAGGCGCCAACCAAACCAACTTGGGACGCTGTGTCCAAATCTCCTCCACGATATCTTCCTGAATCTCGGATTTCCGCCAGTCCACCTTGAAGGGTTCTTCATGAGGGTGATGCGGTTGCATGACTGCCCAGGCATCCCATAGTGGGTCTCCCATCACTTCTTGCGCCCAAGTTCCCATAGCGACCGAGCAGGTTGCAAGCACGGTGAAAAGCGATTGCACGCTGTCCCAGAGCTTCTTCTTGGTGCTCCGATTCTGAAATCTTCTCCTCCGAATTCCTTCCTGGGCGCGAATCCTGGCCCAGTTTGAGCTTCTCGGTGACCTCGACCTCGATCTCTTTGCCTCGGAGCCACTGCAGGTTGTGACATTGTCAACCTCGTCCAAGCCCTGGACATTCTCCTGCACGTTGTTGGCACCGAAGTTATACTCACCGTCCGAGAAGTGCTCATTCTCAAACTCGGGATTGCCACCGGCCCGCCGTTCACCGGTGTTATAGTCCTCCGCCGCAATCTCCTTTCTCCCAAGAACGCCTGCCATAGGCGCTCATCTTCGTCTCCACTTTCATGGAACTCTTGCTGCCACGCATCCGGCACTTCTTGGGCGAGTTTTGCTTCTTCTTCAACGCGGCCAACTGGTTCTCCAGTGCCCGGATGCGCTCTGCGTCGTCCTCTACCCACTCCTCGGCAATGTCCGTGTCCACCGGGAGGTTCTCCGCCTTGACTTCCGAGAGCCCGGACTGTAGGTGTACACCTTGGCCCAAGATCCCTCTGAAGAGCTGGCGGGCCCTTTCTCCGACGCCATTGAGGGCGGAGGCACCACCGCCAGCGCTTCGGGATCGCGGCCGACGTCCTTCTTCTTCACATACCCCGGGGCGGCATCCCGTCGCTCCATCTCCTGGCTTCCCCACGTGGCAAGGCGCACCAGATCCTCGTGTGCATTGGGATCGTTCTTGATCTCCCTGATGGCCCATTGGAGGTATTGAGCTGGCACCTTCTGATACATCCAGCCCTTGTAGCGGCCGAACGGGACGATGGTGCAGCCCGGGGTGGTCCTCGCATCGCGCAGGAGTCGCATCATCAATCCCCGTGTGGGCTTGGCCGGCATCTGAATGCCCTCCTTCTCGGCCTCGGCGACCAGCTGAGCCAACGTCATCTTGGTGAGGCCTTTCATCTTGTCTTCTTCCTTGGGGGGTCGCTCCAATGGGCGTTGTTCCACCAGGATGGACCTCAGTTCTGGCACAGTCCAGTTGGGATGTACCGTGACTCCACGTTCTCCCAACTCCGCCAGGAGCTGCGATTTCTTCATGTTCCATGGCGAGGCAGTCTGCATCCACTGAGCTGGAGTGGCCGTCAGTGGCAGTGGACAGGAAGCAAGTGCCGACTTTGATCTTGGAAAAGCGACTGCGGCCAATCCATACATTGTCCAAGAATGTTCCTTCAACTTCATTGCCGCTTGACTGAGTGTTCACTAGGACTCCATCCGACAGACAAAGTAAAGCTTCTGTGGTTCTTGTCCCATCCAATCGTTTCATCAACAAGTCTTTCAGTCCAGTCAAACGTGTACTCCACAACGAAGGAACAAAGAAAGTTTGACGTGGCACAACATGAATGCGGATGAACTCCTCTGGGGTCTCAATCCAAAAATATCGTGACTTCTTCACACGTTTCCACCAACACATGAAGCTTGCACTGCACAAACATGAAGAAGACGAAAGCATCTGTTGAGCTTCACTGGACAAGGTGGGTGGATAGAACAAAGGTCTCAACTCTCTCTCTCTCTCTCCGGTCGACTGCGCTCCCTTGTATGCTGCTGCGGACGGGACATACACGTCAGAGGTGTCTCCCTCTGGCACAGCGGGTGGAGATGTCCTCCATACTCATTCACAATCAACGCAGGATGGCCGGTGGGTGGGGCTAGTCTTCAGCTTCACCTCGGACAATCCCATGCGCTCCAAACAGACCTTTTGGCCTGCAACATCATAGTGCATTCCCATAGCCGCCAAAATCGGCCTGCTGAACAACAAAGGCACTGCACATGGTACTATGGCCACCCTCACTAGGAACCAGCGCTGTTGCACAGCAAACCATGCAGCCACGCCGAAAGCCGACGTGTAGATGCGGGACGCCCCAAAACGGAAAAACTCTTCATGATCATAGGTGATCACCTCCATGCCGAGTGCATCGCACATGTGACAAAAACACTCAAACCAAGGGTACCCGGCAACGGTCTTGGTGCATGCTGTGTCAATGATAGCCAGGAGGCCGCCCTGCATGAAGTCGTCATTCAGGCCCTTCTCATCCTGCGCAACGAAGCACGAGTTCACCACATTGCACATCTGGGCATTGTGGACGGTCACCTGTGCCTCATGTTCTCCACCTCGCCGACCTCTCATGGGACACTCGGGGTCTTTATGCCAGTGCCGCTTTCGTTTGCAAGCTGAACAATACGACCTGGCTTTTTTCCAACTTCAAACGTTCTTCTGATCTTTTCTTCACCTCGTCAGGGTCTACTCCACGACCTTTCAACGTTTCCTTGTACTTGGACTTGGCGTTCTGGTAGGTCATATAGGCGAGGTGAGCTTCTTCTGCTACTTCTTCAGGAACCACTTCGCCCTCGTCCGGCGAGTCCCCATCGCTGGAGTCCTCCAAATTGGAGGTGAGGTGCACAGCATGTTTTGTCTTCCCCCAACGGGCGTTGTCCTTCCAGGCACCACGATCTCCTCCGGGAGGGCGTCTCATCGACCGGTCCTGGATCATGGCGGCTTGTTGAAGGCGACGACAATCCAACTGGTTGTTCACGCTCGAAAGGAGTGCCAGCTCTTCATGCTCTCCCAACCACAACTTGTCCAGGTAGAGCCAACCTTTCACAAGTGGAGGTAGCTCGCAATGCACCTCCCTCAACCGAAGCACCAACCGCTCAAACTCCACATTGAAGTCTCTCACTGACTGCTTTGGCTTCCTCCTACATCGTTTGAAGAGCTCGGACATCATGTTGGACACCTTCGTGACCTCTACCTCCATGAAGCGCGTTTGGACCCACTCGAGGTAGTAGGACGCGCCATTGTCGGAGGCCAAGATGTCCACATCGAGCTCCTCCGCATAGACCCAAGCTCTGCCGGTCAGCTCGTTGTACAAAGCAAGTGCACGCTGAGCAGCCGGCATCTTCGTGCACCTCAACCACACTTGAATCTTCCTCAAATAAGAACGAGCGGTGCGACCGACATCTCCTTCGTTGGTGGCCTCACCATCGAAGGATGGTACAACAAGCTGTTCAGTCGGCTTCCCTTTGGGATCATTTGCACTCCATCCCTCCCAGTCCTGTCCTTCATGCCATCGACCACCAGCACCAGTCACCTTCTCATCGTAGGATCCAGACCATCGCCCATTCACAACGGCGGTGGTCTGCGGAACCCTGGCGGTCGTGAAGTTCCTGATCTGGGAGTCAGTCATCCATCCATCAAACTCCGACGAGAGGCCTCCAGGGCCTTGCGGCCTCACTCGAAGCTCCTCTGTGCCCCCACCACCACTAGCGCCACCCGACCAAGGATCGCCACTGCCCCAGGGTCACCCGAAGCAAGTTGATCTTCCCAATCAGCATCATTCCATTCCCAACGCGAATGTGAAGGGGTCGACCACTGCCCATCTAAGGCTCCTCCATTCAGTAGCATACCCTGGGTAGGTCCGCTAGATATCAAAGGGTCAGGCCTCCAGGATGGTCTCCATGCGCTCATGCTTTCAAAGGTCCACTAGTCGAAACCAAACGCTCCGCGGCACCAATGCAAAAGTACTGACGTGTCAAAGCCTACATGGCAGGTGCACCGCACACTTTTCTAAACTCATATAGGACCCTTGTGCCTAAGTGGCGTCCGGCCGATCGCACAACCAAATGCAAGGGGCATCAACAAGCAAGGAATGGAGTTCATTCACAAGAGTTGTAATTTTCGATGTTTTGTCCTAGCACCCCCATTGACCCTGCGCTTTGGGATGACAGGTTTCAAAGTACACGAAGCGACAAACTTGCTTGGCGAAGCTGTGGTCGACAGGCCGGTCAACTGACTTTGCTGCGCATTTCGTTAGTAAACCGTTAGTAGTTAGTTCCATCCACTTTTTCTGTGAATTTGCAGGTAGTACAATACTGCATTCTCACGCGTCGACCAGGAGCGGGGCAGTGGTCTCCAAAGCCGACAGTTTTTATCCATCCGCTTTTCCGAAGGTGCGAGTTGCTGGGCAACGTTTGTTTGATTCAAATGTTTTTGGCAGGCTACGCTAGAAAGGCGCACAAATTGAATTATAATTGTTCAACATCCCAATAGAAGGAGCAGCAGAGATGGACAGCTTTGGACGCCAATGTCAACGGGTTCACATATGCGGATGCGCGAATGAACATCCAAACCCAAATGCCGAAGGTTTTCACACAATCCAACCGACCCAAAAAGTTCCTGGGCCGAGGAGCACCCTGATTGGCAAGAAATTAAAAGTGAATTGTTTACGCTCCTTGCGTAATGTTCTTTCCCATTGCGCGGGTGTTGCTGCAGCTTTGTTCGCACTGTTTGTTGCAATTGCCCTCCATGTTTTTTTTTTTTTTTTCGCACTTTGTGACCTCAAAGGCCCTAATCACCCTAATCAGGTAAACATCTTCAAATAATTACCTAAGAAACAACTCCAGTTCCTCCATGCAGGCAACTATTTCCGGGATCTAGAATGTTGCTTTCCTTCCGATTTGTTTTGTGATTTTGCTGCGCGGTGCGTGGTGCAGGTTTTTGTAGGGCTGCCCTGCCATTGAGATTGGCGTACAGTATACAATTTGTTGTTAAAAGGGTTTGTGTCGAAGCTGTGTATTCCTGACAAGCCTTAAAATATGTAATTTGTTTGATTTTACAGTGATGCGGGTGAAACAGCAAAGTGTCGAAATCGTCCAACTGCGCGGTGTGGTACAAAAAGTTGCGAATACCCCGGTGCCGCGACCCTCTTTGTTGCGAGGATGCCGGATAGCCACAGTTGACAGTTTTAGCAGCCATGGCAAAAATCGTGGTTGCTGTGTTGAGGTGTTATCAATGACAAATATAAATAAGAAAATTGACAGACGACAACTCTGAAGCGGCCCGCTTTTGGAAAGCAAGAGGGGATGAAGCAACGTGGACCTGAGCCTAAAGGTGCTCGATCGCATGTATTCTCAACATTCTCGCCTATCCCGGATCCCTACAAATTCTCGTGTGGATTGGACGTCTCAGCCCGGTGGCCCCGACAACTTCGAAATGCTGTGTCCCAGCTCTCTGTGGTCTCCAACCTCGACCAGGATTCAACCTTCAAAGTCTTAGGCCCGGGCCCTTATGGTTTATTCTGCGACATGATGTCTTTGAGATTGCTCGGCTCACTCAGCTGAGAGCGCCCATGCGAGCCCTCATCAAACCACGGCTCGCGCAAGAGTCGCGCACGGTGTCCTACAACAGTGTCAAGCAAGAGTCCTACAAGTATGTCGTACATCGTGCAAGAGCGGCCTAGAAGGGTGTCAAGAATAATTGTCAAAAAAGAGCGACCTACAAGTGTGCTCTGAAAGAACGTCAAGCAAAAGTGTTTTTGGAAACTTTAAAATTGTTGTGCATTTGGGTGCGTAGGTGCGTAGGGTTCATCTAGCTTTTGTTCGTCGTAAAGTTCTTCAAACATCATCATTCCCACACTTTGAACCCTTATATAAGCTTATTATATGATAAACGCTTTCGTGGGTTAAAACGAAACGCCAGACGCGCTTTGCTTTTATGCAGTGTTTCGGCTGCAGCTGATGCATAGGTCTAAGGAGTGCAGGTGTGACGCCTGCACAGCCCTGGGCCGGGTTGCGTCGGTCGTAGTCGACGATCGAACGAGTGAAGAGCTGCGTAAGTACGCGGCTCGGGCCTTGGAGAAGGCCTACACGAAGATCCTCGAGCGCGGCCTGGAACTTCTTCAGCGCGGAGGCGGCAAAGAGGAGGAGGCTCCTGTGAGGGAGCCTGCCAATCCACTCCTGGATCTGGTTCTGCTGAGCCACCAGCAGAGCCCAGTGAGGCCGTGAAGGAGGAGAAGAACGAGGTTGAGGAGGAAGCCACCAAGAAAAAGAAGAGGAGAAAGAAACGCCAACAGCCAGCGGAGGAGAGCCTGCCCGACAAAGAGGAGTTGCCTGCAGAGGAGAGCAAGGGATCAGAGGAGAAAGCCAAGGAAGAAACAAGGCAGGTTGAGAAAGATTCACGGTCACCACTCCCCCGCAGTCCAAAGCCCAGTACAAACCCTGCCATTTCGCTGAAAGAGAAAAAGACAAAATCAGAGGAAACATCAAAACAAGAAGAGGCCCCGAGATTGAAGTTGAAGCCCAAAGCAAAAGGAAAACCGAGGCGATCAAGAAGCAGGTCGAACGGTCGTGACAAGAAGGACAAGAAGCAGAGGAGAAGCCCGAGCCCTATTTACAGTCCCGGAGGGGGAGACAGGGAGTCTCCTCGCGTGGAGGTACAGAGGCTGACGAGGCAGAGATCTTGGCAGTGGGACCTCCTGGAGTTTGGGAGGATAGACCAGAGCTTCCACGAAGGCAGAGGTCACCTGATCACCCACCTCCGCTTCCTCGTCGCCCTAGCAGAGGACAGTTGTGGATTGGACCTATTCGAGCCTACAAGAACCGGCCCATCAACAAGAAAAGGCAAGAACGAGCGCTACTGGGAAAGGAGGCGTCAGACCCTGTGGGAAGAGCGGACCCGAGGCTACAGGAGGCGCTAGCCTAGGGCATGCCTCCCAAGAGGCGGCCGGCAGGATGGCATAAGGCGGGAGAGATAGACACAGATACTCTCCTGGGATGGCCTTGGGTGCGTGTGAAAGGACGCTTTTGGGACGAGGACGTGGAGCTCATCGGCAAGACGTTGGAGGTCAAGAGGAGAGACAGCGGTCGAGAGCTGGCCATGAAGGTCTCCGGAACTCCATCCGAGAGTGCAGTTGAGGGTGCACCTATGTGGGGATTTTTTGCGAAGCTCTAGTCTGGGACGAGGCCTACGTGCATTGCAGCCAGGTGCAGGAAGCTCAACGGGCAGACATTGGATGGAGCCACAACTTCAACTTGGAGGCAGCCGGCGGGAAGGAAGAGGAGGACGAGTTGCGGCAACTTCGAGCATCAGTGGAGGAGTTGAGAGAGAAGGGAAAAGGAGTTGGTGGTCAGCCGGCCAAGGAGAAGAAGAGAGGCAGGTCTCCTGGAACGTCGGGAGACGAGGACAAGAAAAAGAAGAAGAAGAAGAAGAAGAGGAAGAGAGAGTCCCTGAAGATCCAAGGAAAGAAGGGATTGGACAGCCTGTTCGCCTCCACTGGATTGGATCCCAAGCCCGAGATCCGGCGGAAGGTCAAGAGGAGAGCACGGAAAGTGGCACGGAGGAGTCGAAACAAGAAGAGGGGCAGCAGTACTTCCGACACGGAGAGTTCGTCCAGCTCGAGCCGGGAAAGCGCAGGCGTGGAGGACAAGGACTTGTTCGAACCGGCCACGCCCACTCAGCGAGTGTGGAAACTATGCCCTGGCGCCCTCACGACGGCGATGATTGCAGAAGCCAAGGAGGCCTTATTAACACCGATGGGAACAGCATCCGAGCCGATGGAAGGAGCAGTACCGGCGCTGGTCACGCAGTATGTGCGCCAGATCCTCATGCCGGCGATGATGAGTGGGCCGGTTGCCCGAGAATCCCACCACTGCGGATTGCTGTTGGATCTCTTGTTGAGCGGCCAGGTGGCCGGTGCCGCCGATCTAGCCGCCCAGAGACTCAAAGCCCTGGAAGGGCATTCGAAGGGCATGAAACCCGAACTGCTTCGGCAACTAGAACTAGTTGCCCAGGAAAAGCCGTCACTCACCAGTACGACGGAAATCATGAAGGCTGGCCGGCAGGCCAACGAAGAAGTGAAGGTGTTACAAAAAGCAAGCACCCGAGACACCTCCGAGAAGGGGAAGGGCCAATGGAAGGATTGGAGAGAGAAGTTCGACCGAGGAGAGAAGAGCGGCAAGGGCGACAAGGGGAGAAAAGGAAAGAGCGAGGGCAAGAAGAAGGCAACGTAGCTGGGCGAGTGGTGAGAGGAGAAGCTGGCAGTCCTACAGATGGTGGCGACTATGGTGGCTATGTTGGGGAGCTGCTTGGTGGCAGAGCAGCTCCTCGTGTGAGCAAACAATGATACAGGTCACTCCTGGGGTGGGATGGTCTCCTGGTGGCAGGGAGATTCGTCAACCACAAGGGAGTGGTGTTTTTGAAGAACCGGGGACAAGATCTACGAACTCGGTGGAGCAGTTTCACGAATTCATACCAGATTTGGCTTTTGAGCAGCAGCCCCAAGCTCAGTCGGCGGAACTTCATGCAGGAGACACTGCCACGATGGTTGGGAAGCAAAAGCTGCCCACTTTGCCGCGCAGGACGATGACTGAAGTGTATCAGAGCGCCTTGGGCACTTTGACATGTGATGAACGGATGCGCTCCAACATGGGCAGGCCAGAAGATGGGAAGCCGGACTTCATGCCTTTGCCCGTGCCCCATGGCGGATATGGTGGTGGCGGCAGCTGTCGTGGCCATCAATCACTTGGGAGGCTGGAAAAGCCAGCCTCCTGGTATGGAGAAACTTCGGACCTTCAGAGCCTTGCGGTAAAAAACTTGAGCGACCTTCTACATAGACATGGTTTGCGGAAGGTGGAGGATGTTTCCGTTAATTTTGAGGATTTCTTTAAAAGAAAGTCCGTTGATTACCTGGGTGAAGAGGTGAAGGTTGGTATGACCATGAACTGGAGGGCTATTCGTGACTCCTTCCCCCAAGAGGTTGGCTGTCTTGATCTTCAACGTTTTTGTCGGCTTGGCACTTTGGAGTACGTCGTAAACTTTGAAGATTTTCTCCTCCCCCAACAAGACTGGAAGTAGACTAAACCCCCAAGGGTTATGGTGGAGAAAGATGGCTGGTGGGAACTTTGTCATGGACTTATTGAGCAAAAAGTTTGCTGATGCCCATTGATCAGCTTTGTCACGTACATGGTAAACCACTCCTGAACGGAATGTTTGCAGCGGGCAAAGGGGAGTATAAAGACGGATTGGAGACGCAAAGACTCATCATGAACCTGATCCCGGTGAATACACTATGTAAGTCACTATAGCTGGAGATATTAGTACACTCCCGGGCATTGCGGGACTGTCTCGATGCGGGGGAGGTGGTCCTACTTAGTAGCGAGGATATTCGGTGTTT